AATTTATAAGTATTTAAGTTATCACTTTTGCAGACTTATTATATTATACAAAATATAATAAATCTGCTAAAGTATTGACTTAAAAATTTAAAATTTTTACTTTTATTATTAAAGTCTTGTTTTTCTTTAATATATCTATAGTATATAACAAGAATGGTAAATGACCTGAATGACCCAAATAATAAATAACTAGTTATTTGTCATTTCAAAACTTAAATGACCTTAGAAGATTATTTAATATAGTTAGTTAATATTATAATATCTGTTAACCAAACAAAATTAAATTTATAAAAATATAATCAATAATTATTACTATTTATTAAAGTCAAAATGTTACTAAGTCAATTAATATTTATATCTTAAGTAAAGTTTTTTAGGACAATAAATTGCATATAATTTGAAATTTTTACGTAAATTAAACAATTTTCTATTAATTATTTTCATATTTACATTTACACAAAAAAATTTAAAAATTTTTTTGTATAAATGTACTGTAATAAAATGCAGGATCGAATTAATAAAAGTTATTCAAATCGCACAAAAATTTCAGAATATATGAATTTACTGTTCCGAAAAACTTTAAGATATAAATATTAGTTGATTCAGTAAAATCTTGACTTCAATATATAACAACGATCATTGATTACATTTTTACAAAAATTAAATTCAGTTGGCAGCTAATTCTGTTCAGTTAAAAGATATCATAATACTAACTAACATACGTTAAAAGACCTTTAAGGTCATCTAAGTATTGAAACGACAAGTGACTAGTCATCTGTTATTTGAGTTATTTCAGATCATTTACTATCCTTGTACATAAATCTACGGTAAAGATTGTTTTATCAATTGATATTTATAAAAAAGTTAAGAATACAAGATATATCAAATTACAAGAGAAAAAAAGATACACACAAAAAAAAGGTTCAACAATAATGCCGTAAAGTATTATTTATTATCTAGAATTTACGACCAAAGATCTTTTGAATAAGTTTTAATTACGCTAAATATTTTGTTTATTTTATATCGAAGATTTAAATTAGAAATAAATCAAGGTAATATATAGTAATTTATATTGCTTTATAAGTTAATTATACTTAAAAAAATTACGTACATATTCTCACAAGTACAATAGCGTAGAAAGTAAAGTATAGTTCACTGTTCACAAATTTAAAATCATAAAGGTTATTTAATCGATGGTTTGGTTACGATTTTAAACAAACATATATTTAGTTAAAGTATATATTATATATCTATTTAGCTTCAGTATCAACTAATATTTCTGCTTCATTTGAATCGGTTAGTATTTCTTTCGCAAGGTCTGTTAATTTGCGTTTACTTCTAGTTCTCGTATAAGGCTTGGTGGTCATAGTTGAAGGTTTGATAACAGATAAAAATTTAATTACAGACGAAGATTTAGTTGTGGTGGAAAGTTTAGTCATGATAGAAGGTTTAGTAGTAGTAGAAGGTTTAGTCGCGGATGAAGGTTTAGTCATAGATAAAGATTTAGTCATAGACAAAGGTTTAGTAGTAGATGAAGGTTTAATCATAGAAGAAGCTTTGATTACAGAAGATCTTTTCTTATGTTTATTAAATTTTGCAGCCAACAATTCAGCAATACTCGTAGATTTATTCGATTCATTTTGTGTTTCAGTATTCCAAGGAACTTTCATGGATGTGA